CACCTAATCAGATCCCAATTACCCTCCACCACCTGCGGGAATAGCCCATTGTGGAGGTGTGGTAATTGTCGTGCCGGGACCCTGGAGCCCCTTTTTCCGCGACCGACCTAATGACGGGCGGACAAAACAGTCGCCCGGCCCTTTGTCTCGCCGGGAGGGGCTCAGGCCGTAAAGGACACCTTTTTGGGGGTCATGGCGGGTGTTACCTGAGGGCACAAAGTTGGCAAAGGTTATCGGGGTTCGGATGGAAAAAAGGAAGAAGAAAAAGGGGAAATTCGTAAATGAATAAGCTGACAGAGATATTTGAAGAAAAATCAGGCTAACAGTGATTCTTTGAACGAAGGTACATTAAGCATAAGAAGGCTAGCATAGATTCTCTAGAAAAGGGCATGCTAGCGGATATCATTTAGGAAAGCGCATGATCGCAGGGATTTTTTTAGGAAAGGGCAGGCTAGCAAAGATTCCTTACTAGCCCCAAGAACGCACCCTCTAAATCTCGTGGAACGAAAAGATTTGCTTTCTAAATGGCCACCACCCGGACCGGACTCCCGTTCCACAAATCCCGGGTAGAGAACGGTCATTAAAGGGGCAGTAAAGGAAAGGCGGCCGAAATGAAAACCGTGGCGGGTCTGTCGTAAAGTCGGCTGCACTTTTTGGGGTTCTAAGGAGAAGTTATTTTGGAATTTCTGCAACGTATCGGCTACAAGGCACCCTTCCAACCGCATACTTTCCAGATTTACACCCCAAAAAAGAGTCACCGGAACAAGGATTTACAACCCTGCTCCGGCTGTCGAAAACGAAGCACGAATTGGCCGACATCTGGACCCTATATCAAGCTCGTAGTCTTTGGAATACGGGATTTTACTATGCCCTACTATACGTCGTGGAAAAACAGATGTAAAGGCCCTTAGGCAGAAGCTTGGGATAAGGTCTCGGCTTAGGCTTAGGCTTAGATGTAGGCCCATAGACATAGGTAAAGATCTGCATATGTGCTGCTACCCATATAACCGGACCACAGGACAAGTTTCGGGGCGAGCGCGTGAAAGCCGGCGCAGTCGGTGTAGTCGTAAAGTTTGTGGGCTAGAACGACCCTCCTTTTTTGACGAGGAGCACGAGCTCAAAAAGGAGGCGATGCATATTGACCTGATTTGGGGAGAAGGGATTAAGCTGAGGAGGTGGTCAGGCTCAGCGGGTTGGGGTTTCAGGACCAGTTGAAGATACTTTGTTTAGGAAAGGGCAGGTTAGTAGAGATAGTTTAGGAAAGCACAAGCTAGCAGTGATTCTTTAGGAAGAAGCAGGACAGCAGAGACCCCTTCGGAAAGGGTAGACTGTGCGTGGTTCTTTACTAACACCAGGCTAGCAACGATTCTTGAGGTAAGGGCACGCCAACCGAGATTCTCTACGAAGACAAGCGCGACGAAAAATGCGATCAACACTTACGATGATCGCTGAACCGAGAACAAGAATGGCATGCCAGAAACAGGCCCCGATCCGGCGCATCATCTACGACAAACAGTCACCCCTCACCTAACATCCCCAAAAAAGGAGCGCCGGCCAAAATCGTGCCCCAGGTACCACAATTCCGCCGATGCGTGGGTCCGAGGGGTGTTGGGAAAGTGTGCGTGGTGTATGTTTGTGGCCGGGCCCTCATCACCATCACCACCCCATCACCCCCTCCACCATCATCACGTACTCTCTCCCTTTCCACCCTGGGGTGTGCATTTCACGGCCTGAAGTGTGGAGCGCTGGCGCGCGCAGGCGCACACGGGACCCCGCACGGTGAAAGTGATATTTGGACAGAAGCCGGGTCCTCGCTCCGGGTGGGCCACAGTGTCATCCATTGCGCGCGCGCAGTCCCCTGTAACTGCGAACGATCACGCAAACAATGCGCGAGTCGGAAAGGCTCAACCCCGTATTGGAAGTGTGGCGACCCCCGACCCGGGGGTTATACGTTACACGTCGAGCCGGGTGGTAATACTGACAAGAAGACAGGGCTATATGGTTTCCAAGTCTGGAGATTTGACATAGCTCATGCTATGGCCTTTCAAATCCTGCACCAATGCCATCCCTGAAAATTATCTGTACCGTAAACCGTCCTGTACCGTGCAGGGAAGTTTGAAAGATAGCATTTAATCAGAATTCCAAGCCCTGTCGAGCAAGCTACGTCACATCGCAAAACTCGAAAGTACCCCCAACGCCACTCGCACCCAATTTTTGGTGAGTTTACTTAAAGGATACTTGTGGTGTACCTTTTTCAGACCCACAGGCCGATGCTAAAAGGATGCCGAACGAAACCCAGGGGGCTTGAGACGTAAAATCTGATCGTGATCATCGATGTTCAGAAATTTCGACAAAGCCACTTGCCCAAAAAGAATGTGCCGGAAAAGCTAGTTTCTCCATTTTTTGCGAAAAAATACCGAAAAGAAGATGATGAGACGACGAATGGACTTTTATAAGCCACTACTCCCAAAAATTTTGGATTGAACTGACTAGCGGAAATTCCTAAAGAAACCCATCTCAGCTGAACTTTGGCGGCCTTCCAGCCCTCTCCAAAATCCTGCTTCGCGATACCATGCTGATGTTTTGATGATTGCTGCTCGGTTCCCAGACGAAAAGCCATCATCGGGCCCCATTTACGTGGGTGTATTTCGGCGTGGCGCGGCCCGGGGGCCCCCCGATAATGGGTGGGACCCTCATTAAACGACGATAATTGCAACAGTACAAATAGTTAGGGGGTAGACAGAGCAACATTATTCCTCACACGGCTTGCCGGCGAGCCATGCGGGCCCCCAAGATGAAGTGGCTGCTCGTGCAGGTGACTTTTTTGGGGGTTGTCTTTTGCCGTTTTAAAGGGACGGGTAACGCGTTCAAAACCGAAAAAACGGGCCGGAATAGATGGCATTCAAGGGTTGGCGCAGATAACAAAAAAAAATAAAAAAATGCGAATCTCTCGCTTTAATTATAGACTGTGGGATGTCATAAAATCCCCCAACTCCTCCCGCGCTGTAACCTGCGTCCAGTTTCGCACCCACCCTCGTATAGGCCCTCGGGCCCTCGGAACGTTTAAGACTGCGGTTAGCAGAGAACCATGTGTTACGTGAATTCCAGTTCCGGCAGATGTTGTCCTTTTCAAGCCTAAACCACATCAAAAAAACCTTCAACTGTCCTATCAGCCTTTAAGCGTATTAATGCGAGCCAGCGCCGCATGTAGGCATTATAACACAACGAGGCTATTTTCGCGCGAAAAATGAGAATAAATCGTATCGCGATTTAGCTCAGCAGCGCGAGCGCAGCGTATTTTTTTTTTCAACCGATCCCCTTAAACGCACCGCTCTCAAGCACAGACGCTTCGTTGATAGGCGGAAGCCAGGGGTTCAAGCATTTATCTCCGATTGCGCAATTCATCTCTAGTTTTGCAAAAGCCGTTCTTAATTTATTTTTTTTCACCAGGGTTGAAAAACCGCTTCGCGGCTTTTCAACCCTGGCCCCGTCCAGGACCTGTGAAAGTCCTTAATTTGCATGTTTCTTCCTGAATTCTAGCAAGAAAAAAAAAGTGAAAAACGGCTCCTCTGTCCCTTTATATAGACTCTTCCTACTTCCGGCGTATGCTAATTTCCCCTAACAAACAGGGTTTTACAAAAACCTATTTTTAATAGCGAAAACCGCAATTTTTCAAAATTTTTATGTGTGTGCAGTCGATTCAGGACCATTCTAAACCTATTGTCGTTTCTTCCCTATCCAAAAAACCCTTCCCCCTGGCTGTAGGAGCGGAACATCCAAACGGAAGTGCATGCAAATATACACACACACACACACAAACACTATTTTTTTATATATAGTAGGATAGCTCAATATCCAGCCGAAGCGCAATTGAAGCTAGCTATATAGTATGGCAAACGCTTTTTAAAACTACCAAAATCCCGGAACATTGCAGAAAAATGTGCCTTTGTAATTATAAACACGTCTGTCATTACAAATCCTACTATATATAAAATAAGTGTCTCTGTGTGCGTGTGTGTGCCACTATGCATCCACTTCTGTCTGTCTGTCCAGAGGACATCTCGAAAGGGGACGAATTTCAAGGTATGTATGATACGTCATTAGGTGCGTAATGGCCTGAAGATGACTGCAAACGTATCAGTTTTTACAAAATCAGCATCAATCATTTAGTCATAAACATCAAATTTAAGTGTTTGTGAAAACTTCCTTGTTAGGGGTAATCAGCTTACAAGGAGACGTTTTTGAGTGTCGTCGGGACTTTGGCACGGGACCAAGCCTATCTTGTGCAGAATTTTACGCTGATTCCAAATATGTTAACCGTTTTTGCGGAATAGCCATTTCTTGAAAGTTATGAACGATTTAAACCTCAAAACAGCCCAAAATCTGCTACTTTCAATAGTCATAAAAGGCTTCAAAATAGGTTTTAGACAAAACCAGATAGTGCATCTTGTTCAGAAAAAATTTTTCTATAAAATAAGCCATTTAACTCAAAAATGCTAGAATATTGAAAATTTTTGTAAAATTATGGACCTCCCAATTTATCAAATTTTTCCAACTTTTCAATGATTTTGAAAAAGATGGTACATTTTATAGAGAATTTTTTTCTGAACAAGATGCACTATCTGGTTTTGTCTAAAACCTATTTTAAAGCCTTTTATGACTATTGAAAGTAGTAGATTTTGGGCTGTTTTGAGGTTTAAATCGTTCATAACTTTCGAGAAATGGCTATTCCGCAAAAACGGTTAACATATTCGGAATCAGCGTAAAATTCTGCACAAGATAGGCTTGGTCCCGTGCCAAAGTCCCGACGACACTCAAAAACGTCTCCTTGTTAGACCGGAAGTTGCGATTCCACTATATAAATGGACAGGAGCGGTTGTTGTTCATTTTTTTGTTATCCGCATTTAGGACGATTATGCAAAGTGAAGGATAAAATGGGGTCAGACGGGGTCAGCGTTGAAAAGTCGCGAAGCGGCTTTTCAACCCTCGTACACGTTAATATGTGGATGCCTCAAACGACCTCGATGCCGCCAGGCCTATTCGTCAAATCTCAAAACCTTCCACATTTTCAGATATGCCTTGCCCAACTTGCCGTAGGATTTGAGGTGAGTCTTGCGGTGAGCATTCTAGCAATCTTTCATCTAGAACCCCTTCGCCAATCTATTCGGCGGGTATGGCAACGAATATGGTGGCGACGGCTACGGATATCCGCCCTTTCCACCTCCACCCGCTACGGAATCTACGGTTCGCTGATTTTAAATTACAGCTCAGAATTCGTTTTTCAGACGCGGGGTAGCAGAACCTCGAGTTATGCTTCGACAATGCTAACCGCACGTACCGAGACAGCGTCAACTGGCCCCTCGCAACCAACGGCAAGCCCTACCCCAACTGCGAACCCGACCGGCAGCTCGCCGACAGGCCCTCCTTCTGACGCGACTGGAACCCCGACAGGCAGCTCGCCGACAGGCCCTCCTTCTGACGCGACTGGAACCCCGACAGGCAGCTCGCCGACAGGCCCTCCTTCTGACGCGACTGGAGCCCCGACCGGCAGCTCGCCGACAGGCCCCTCCTTCTGACGCGACTGGAACCCCGACCGGCAGCTCGCCGACAGGCCCTCCTTCTGACGCGACTGGAACCCCGACAGGCAGCTCGCCGACAGGCCCTCCTTCTGACGCGACTGGAACCCCGACCGGCAGCTCGCCGACAGGCCCTCCTTCTGACGCGACTGGAACCCCGACCGGCAGCTCGCCGACAGGCCCTCCTTCTGACGCGACTGGAACCCCGACCGGCAGCTCGCCGACAGGCCCTCCTTCTGACGCAACTGGAACCCCGACCGGAAGCTCGCCGACAGGCCCTCCTTCTGACGCGACTGGAACCCCGACCGGCAGCTCGCCGACAGGCCCTCCTTCTGACGCGACTGGAACCCCGACAGGCAGCTCGCCGACAGGCCCTCCTTCTGACGCGACTGGAACCCCGACCGGCAGCTCGCCGACAGGCCCTCCTTCTGACGCGACTGGAACCCCGACAGGCAGCTCGCCGACAGGCCCTCCTTCTGACGCGACTGGAACCCCGACCGGCAGCTCGCCGACAGGCCCTCCTTCTGACGCGACTGGAACCCCGACCGGCAGCTCGCCGACAGGCCCTCCTTCTGACGCGACTGGAACCCCGACCGGCAGCTCGCCGACAGGCCCTCCTTCTGACGCAACTGGAACCCCGACCGGAAGCTCGCCGACAGGCCCTCCTTCTGACGCGACTGGAACCCCGACCGGCAGCTCGCCGACAGGCCCTCCTTCTGACGCGACTGGAACCCCGACAGGCAGCTCGCCGACAGGCCCTCCTTCTGACGCGACTGGAACCCCGACCGGCAGCTCGCCGACAGGCCCTCCTTCTGACGCGACTGGAACCCCGACAGGCAGCTCGCCGACAGGCCCTCCTTCTGACGCGACTGGAACCCCGACCGGCAGCTCGCCGACAGGCCCTCCTTCTGACGCGACTGGAACCCCGACCGGCAGCTCGCCGACAGGCCCTCCTTCTGACGCGACTGGAACCCCGACCGGCAGCTCGCCGACAGGCCCTCCTTCTGATGCAACTGGAACCCCGACCGGAAGCTCGCCGACAGGCCCTCCTTCTGACGCGACTGGAACCCCGACCGGCAGCTCGCCGACAGGCCCTCCTTCTGACGCGACTGGAACCCCGACAGGCAGCTCGCCGACAGGCCCTCCTTCTGACGCGACTGGAACCCCGACCGGCAGCTCGCCGACAGGCCCTCCTTCTGACGCGACTGGAACCCCGACCGGCAGCTCGCCGACAGGCCCTCCTTCTGACGCGACTGGAACCCCGACCGGCAGCTCGCCGACAGGCCTTCCTTCTGACGCGACTGGAACCCCGACCGGCAGCTCGCCGACAGGCACTCCTTCTGATGCAGCTGGAACCCCGACCGGCAGCTCGCCGACAGGCCCTCCTTCTGACGCGACTGGAACCCCGACCGGCAGCTCGCCGACAGGCACTCCTTCTGATGCAACTGGAACCCCGACCGGCAGCTCGCCGACAGGCCCTCCTTCTGATGCAACTGGAACCCCGACCGGAAGCTCGCCGACAGGCCTTCCTTCTGACGCGACTGGAACCCCGACCGGCAGCTCGCCGACAGGCCCTCCTTCTGACGCGACTGGAACCCCGACCGGCAGCTCGCCGACAGGCACTCCTTCTGATGCAGCTGGAACCCCGACCGGCAGCTCGCCGACAGGCCCTCCTTCTGACGCGACTGGAACCCCGACCGGCAGCTCGCCGACAGGCACTCCTTCTGATGCAACTGGAACCCCGACCGGCAGCTCGCCGACAGGCCTTCCTTCTGACGCGACTGGAACCCCGACCGGCAGCTCGCCGACAGGCACTCCTTCTGATGCAGCTGGAACCCCGACCGGCAGCTCGCCGACAGGCCCTCCTTCTGACGCGACTGGAACCCCGACCGGCAGCTCGCCGACAGGCACTCCTTCTGATGCAACTGGAACCCCGACCGGCAGCTCGCCGACAGGCCCTCCTTCTGATGCAACTGGAACCCCGACCGGAAGCTCGCCGACAGGCCCTCCTTCTGACGCGACTGGAACCCCGACCGGCAGCTCGCCGACAGGCACTCCTTCTGATGCAACTGGAACCCCGACCGGCAGCTCGCCGACAGGCCCTCCTTCTGACGCGACTGGAACCCCGACCGGCAGCTCGCCGACAGGCCCTCCTTCTGACGCGACTGGAACCCCCGACCGGCAGCTCGCCGACAGGCCCTCCTTCTGACGCGACTGGAACCCCGACCGGCAGCTCGCCGACAGGCCCTCCTTCTGACGCGACTGGAACCCCGACCGGCAGCTCGCCGACAGGCCCTCCTTCTGACGCGACTGGAACCCCGACCGGCAGCTCGCCGACAGGCCCTCCTTCTGACGCGACTGGAACCCCGACCGGCAGCTCGCCGACAGGCCCTCCTTCTGACGCGACTGGAACCCCGACCGGCAGCTCGCCGACAGGCCCTCCTTCTGACGCGACTGGAACCCCGACCGGCAGCCCGCCGACAGGCCCGCCTTCTGATGCAACTGGAACCCCGACCGGCAGCTCGCCGACAGGCCCTCCTTCTGACGCGACTGGAACCCCGACCGGCAGCTCGCCGACAGGCCCTCCTTCTGACGCGACTGGAACCCCGACCGGCAGCTCGCCGACAGGCCCTCCTTCTGACGCGACTGGAACCCCGACCGGCAGCTCGCCGACAGGCCCTCCTTCTGATGCAACCGGAACCCCGACCGGAAGCTCGCCGACAGGCCCTCCTTCTGACGCGACCGGAACCCCGACCGGCAGCTCGCCGACAGGCCCTCCTTCTGACGCGACTGGAACCCCGACCGGCAGCTCGCCGACAGGCCCTCCTTCTGATGCAACTGGAACCCCGACCGGCAGCTCGCCGACAGGCCCTCCTTCTGACGCGACTGGAACCCCGACCGGCAGCTCGCCGACAGGCCCTCCTTCTGACGCGACTGGAACCCCGACCGGCAGCTGGCCGACAGGCCCTCCGTCTGACGCGACTGGAACCCCGACCGGCAGCTCGCCGACAGGCACTCCTTCTGACGCGACTGGAACCCCGACCGGCAGCTCGCCGACAGGCCTTCCTTCTGATGCAACTGGAAGCCCGACCGGCAGCTCGCCGACAGGCCCTCCTTCTGACGCGACTGGAACCCCGACCGGCAGCTCGCCGACAGGCACTCCTTCTGACGCGACTGGAACCCCGACCGGCAGCTCGCCGACAGGCCCTCCTTCTGACGCGACTGGAACCCCGACCGGCAGCTCGCCGACAGGCCCTCCTTCTGACGCGACTGGAACCCCGACCGGCAGCTCGCCGACAGGCCCTCCTTCTGACGCGACTGGAACCCCGACCGGCAGCTCGCCGACAGGCACTCCTTCTGACGCGACTGGAACCCCGACCGGCAGCTCGCCGACAGGCCCTCCTTCTGACGCGACTGGAACCCCGACCGGCAGCCCGCCGACAGGCCCGCCTTCTGATGCAACTGGAACCCCGACCGGCAGCTCGCCGACAGGCCCTCCTTCTGACGCGACTGGAACCCCGACCGGCAGCTCGCCGACAGGCCCTCCTTCTGACGCGACTGGAACCCCGACCGGCAGCTCGCCGACAGGCCCTCCTTCTGACGCGACTGGAACCCCGACCGGCAGCTCGCCGACAGGCCCTCCTTCTGATGCAACCGGAACCCCGACCGGAAGCTCGCCGACAGGCCCTCCTTCTGACGCGACCGGAACCCCGACCGGCAGCTCGCCGACAGGCCCTCCTTCTGACGCGACTGGAACCCCGACCGGCAGCTCGCCGACAGGCCCTCCTTCTGATGCAACTGGAACCCCGACCGGCAGCTCGCCGACAGGCCCTCCTTCTGACGCGACTGGAACCCCGACCGGCAGCTCGCCGACAGGCCCTCCTTCTGACGCGACTGGAACCCCGACCGGCAGCTGGCCGACAGGCCCTCCGTCTGACGCGACTGGAACCCCGACCGGCAGCTCGCCGACAGGCACTCCTTCTGACGCGACTGGAACCCCGACCGGCAGCTCGCCGACAGGCCTTCCTTCTGATGCAACTGGAAGCCCGACCGGCAGCTCGCCGACAGGCCCTCCTTCTGACGCGACTGGAACCCCGACCGGCAGCTCGCCGACAGGCACTCCTTCTGACGCGACTGGAACCCCGACCGGCAGCTCGCCGACAGGCCCTCCTTCTGACGCGACTGGAACCCCGACCGGCAGCTCGCCGACAGGCCCTCCTTCTGACGCGACTGGAACCCCGACCGGCAGCTCGCCGACAGGCCCTCCTTCTGACGCGACTGGAACCCCGACCGGCAGCTCGCCGACAGGCACTCCTTCTGACGCGACTGGAACCCCGACCGGCAGCTCGCCGACAGGCACTCCTTCTGACGGGACTGGAACCCCGACAGGCAGCTCGCCGACAGGCACTCCTTCTGACGCGACTGGAACCCCGACCGGCAGCTCGCCGACAGGCCCTCCTTCTGACGCGACTGGAACCCCGACAGGCAGCTCGCCGACAGGCCCTCCTTCTGATGCAACTGGAACCCCGACCGGCAGCTCGCCGACAGGCCCTCCTTCTGACGCGACTGGAACCCCGACCGGCAGCTCGCCGACAGGCACTCCTTCTGACGCGACTGGAACCCCGACCGGCAGCTCGCCGACAGGCCCTCCTTCTGATGCAACTGGAACCCCGACCGGCAGCTCGCCGACAGGCACTCCTTCTGACGCAACTGGAACCCCGACCGGCAGCTCGCCGACAGGCCCTCCTTCTGACGCGACTGGAACCCCGACCGGCAGCTCGCCGACAGGCACTCCTTCTGACGCGACTGGAACCCCGACCGGCAGCTCGCCGACAGGCACTCCTTCTGACGCAACTGGAACCCCGACCGGCAGCTCGCCGACAGGCACTCCTTCTGACGCGACTGGAACCCCGACCGGCAGCTCGCCGACAGGCCCTCCTTCTGATGCAACTGGAAGCCCGACCGGCAGCTCGCCGACAGGCACTCCTTCTGACGCGACTGGAACCCCGACCGGCAGCTCGCCGACAGGCCCTCCTTCTGATGCAACTGGAAGCCCGACCGGCAGCTCGCCGACAGGCACTCCTTCTGACGCGACTGGAACCCCGACCGGCAGCTCGCCGACAGGCACTCCTTCTGACGCGACTGGAACCCCGACCGGCAGCTCGCCGACAGGCCCTCCTTCTGATGCAACTGGAAGCCCGACCGGCAGCTCGCCGACAGGCACTCCTTCTGATGCGACTGGCAGCCCTGAACCTTCTGATGCAACTGCACAGTCAGGCAGCGCCTCGACTGGATCGACTGCACTGCCAGACTCGACGACGCAAGCACCATGCACAAAGCCGCCGTGTCCTCCACCCTGTTCCAAACCGCCGTGTCCACCACCATGCTCTAAGCCGCCCTGCCCGCCGCCGTGTTCCGGAAAGCCTCCGTGCCCACCCGCCTGCAAGCCGCCATGCCCTTCGCCCTGCTCGAAGCCGCCCTGCCCGCCTCCCTGTTCTGGAAAACCTCCCTGCCCTACCCCCTGCAAGCCACCATGCCCTTCGCCCGGCTCGAAGCCGCCCTGCCCACCGCCGTGCAAGCCACCGTGTCCACCCCCGTGTTCAAAGCCACCTTGCCCTCCCCCCTGTACGGCATCGGCGGCAGCGGCGGCCGCTGCTGCACGTCCCGCGGCGCTCAGTGCTGCGCTGAAGTTGGCAGCTGTGAAGGCGCAATCAGCGGTGAACCAGAAGCCGGTAAAACGGGCGATTGAAACTCGCGCCGCGCGTCATCATCGTCGCTGAGTGGCGTCCGAAAAATGCAATCAGTTTGAATAAAGTTATTGATGAAATGTTTTTCAGGTGTTATTTTGTACGGTAATCAAATACCCAAAATTTGTTATTCGACATTATTTTCGGCAAGCCCGGGCCTGAAATTCCCTCATCACTGAAGGGAGATTTTCGGTGCAGCTAATTGAAAAATTGGTGGAAAGCGCGTTGGAGGGAAAGATCAGTAATTAGGATTCGATGCATGTAGTGGAGGGCGGCATTACTTAGCTTTTAAAATCGTTGAACATCCTTGCTGTCGTTCTTACACATCGAATCGGTGCTCGGGAGCGATCTGGCCTAAGCCGCCGAGGCAGAATCCGGCTAAAGAATTTTGGAAAAACTTTCGCTTCGAAGATTCTCTAAAGTTAAATATCTTTCTTATTAAATCGCCAGGTGCAACCCTTTTAGCTTTCCGGAGCCCCCCGGGGCAACAACTAGCGACGTTGTCCTGGCTGCGAGATTCGCACGCCCTACAACGTGGACAGTGGGAATTGCGGCGTCGGGGCGTAGCAAGCGTTTTGTAGCAACTTTTACTAGGTGATAAGCCGAGAAAACGTCGGCGAATCGGCTGTTGCTTGAAGGTAAATGGCAGGAACCGTCGTGTTTTTGGCCCATTCTGTAAAAATTAAACAATCGCTTGAAATTTCTAACACCCCACTCCGCAGCCCACTCCACAACCAAGCTGAAAAGATAAGCGTAGCTAACGTATCTAAAACATCATCAATACACTATATTTGGATCAAAACCATGCACCTCAGATTTTTCTAATATTGTTGAGACATTCTTATACCGCAAGTACAGATCATTGGACGTGTTTTAAGTTTTTGCAACTCTCTTTCTCTCTCCACAGTCCCCTTTTCCATTTCCAACTTCAAAAAATGTACAACAAATTTTCGGCATCCACCGCCTCGGGACCAGCCGGATCGCCTTCCGAATTCCCCAAGCTAATCAAGCCCGGACATGGCTATAAAAAGTTGGATACGGTATGGAGGTCGTCGGGGGTCCCCCGGGGGCAAGGCGAGGGCGTGGCCCCGCCCCCAATCCCCCTCCGGGCAAAAAGGGTACCGTAGGCGTCGCCGTGAATTCCGACCCAATTTGCGCCCCCAAATCCTCACCCCCGGGGCCATTATGGACCCGTTGCTGGCGACGAAGGACGAGCCGATGATGGAGCAGCACGACTTGGTGGTGTCGTCGATTCCGCAGCTGCACACGATGATGCGAGCACCAGGTGCGTACAATCGGTTAACTGGCTTGTTTGCTAACAACCCCCCCTCCTTAATTAACCTGCCGTGCCAGACCCCCTCCTGGCAAACGAGTTAATCGACAAATGGGAACAAATCAGGGTGGGGCTAGGGATTCGATAATTCGCGTGCGAGGCGCTGCCCCCAGCATTAGACGATAATTATTTGATTGAGTAATGCGATAAGGGCCGGAATGCCGAGGGTGCTGAGGCTAGTTAGCCGCCCCACTGGCCTTCTATTTACAGCTTCAAAGGCTAGATTTTGTCGTTTTGCGGGTACTGTAGGGTGGTTGTTGTTTAAAGGAACATCGTGCGCCAGAACGACCTGGCGTCAACTAGCGATGCGTAAGAATGATACGGGGATATCGATGGGCCAGTGGCCGGAAGTTGTTTTGGGTCCTTATGCTAAAAAGTGCAAAAGTTAAACTTAGTGCACGGCGTAGGTTAAACTTATGATACGGCTTGGACTTTGGCTTATTTTTAGTTTGATCTCATGCTTATCTTAAGGATTATGCCTCGAAATCTTGAGCTCATACCTCGGCTTCTGCTTTCCTTGCTTTTTTCTTTTGTTTTGATTTGTCCTTTTATTGAATTCGGCTTATCTGACTTAGGCCTACAAGGCTTAACATTGAGCTTCCGCATTTTTATGGCCAATGTAGAGCGGAAATTCAGAATACCTCAAGCACAACTCTTCAGCCATCATCTCCCCCTATGGAGAACTGCCGAACAACGGATGTCCACCCCCCATTCAACTCATCCCCCCGCCCGAACTCGTCCAAAACAAGACGGAATCTGGGCGACGACGTGACAAGGTAAATTAACGGGAAAAAACAGCGATCCTACCCCCCAGGACCCCAAGAAGCAGCGCCGCAACCGCACGACGTTCACTACCTTCCAGCTGCATGAGCTGGAGCAGGCTTTTGAGAAGGTGAGGGGTGGCTAGCATTTATTGGATGCCTGAAAAAAGTCTGAAACGTGGTCCGGAAATTTTTCCTGTATTGAAAAATGGTTAGTCGTTATTTTTTTAGTGCCACTACCCGGACGTGTACGCGCGGGAGTCGCTGGCGAACAAGGTGAAGCTGCCGGAAGTGAGGGTGCAGGTTGGTGTTTCTAGTTATTTCCGGCTATCCCAGGTATATCCTAAGCTAGCAGCTTGCTGTAACGTATTGTAGTACTCTATTTGGAAATTCCTTTCAAGAAGACCAAGTGCATCTTGGGCAGAATTTTTCGCTTAAAGTTATCCTTCACTTCGACCTAGGTATATCCATCCCTATAAATTGAGCCCCTTGATCCAACCACCCTGTTTTTCTGCCCTTTGCTACATGTCGGAAAACCCTAGGGGGACGACTACGTGGAGTTGGGCATCTCCTTGACAACGTGTGATCCTCTGGGGTCCTCCTGGGAAAACGGCGGCCAATCAGCGCAACCGTTTAGTAGCCCAGGCACATTGAGAACCTAGGGGAAGGGTCCAGAAAAATCGAGGGCAGCCTCGAGCTTCCGGGAATGCAATGGAAATTGGAATAACAATGAGTTTTCATAGGCACGCTGGGCTTACTGTAAAATGTTTTTACATAGGCTCGAAATCATAACCGGGGGCCTATCTTATCTTCTGTAGAAGTTTTCGGTGAGTCCGAACCTCTTCTTCCTTCTCAAAAATTGAGTAAGACAACCGAATCAATCGCCACCCTAATACAGCCAAAACCAAATCCTCGCCACCCCGCAACACAACAGGCTTACGGTAATCCTTGGGGACGCTAGATGTTATCTCGGGCTGTGGGACTGTGTACGCATACAGGCCATCCCGAATAGCAACAATCTATTCATTGGGCTCCTCCCTGAGCCAGCGGGCGGACTGGCCATTACCGGATTAACGCTCGTCGGTTCGCGGCTGCACGCTGCTTTGCGCGCTCCACGGCCTGTAGAGAATTCCCTGATTTTGGTTGTTAGAGCGATTTAGGGGTATGTGAAAATGGAATCAGCGCCAAACATTGCTACTTTCACTAGCAAGCACATGCCTAAAAATCAACGCAAATTATCGTAACCGGTAACTAGCGTAACTACGATTTTCAGAAAATCCTGTAAAGGGCCGGGGCAAACAGGAAAAATTTGCAAAAAAATTCTACTCGCAAAAAAGTCCTGAGCTTAGACTTAGGATCAGATCTAGGCTTAGGCTTTTAGGCTTCGGCTTAGGCTTCGGTTTAGACTTAAGTATAGGCGTAGTCTTGCCCTGGACTTATGGTTAGACTTCCCCCCCAAGCGATTCGACACGCCATAAATCATCCCGTTCAAAAACCCGCTCAACCCGAACGATCTAGACCATTTGGTAAATGCAGAGCGCGTCGAAAATGGGGTGGCAATTAGCCTTCTCCGGCACATCCGGGCCCTCCGCGGGGCTGTCGAAATTTGACGCTGCCCCCCGGGCCAGTGGGTAGACGGTAGCTGCCCCGATTGCCCCCAGCAATTAGCCCTGATGGGCACCACACTTACTCTCGGGATCTCGGTGGGCCCATCACGATGCTTAGGGCCCAGCATCCCAGTAGACATGTCGACATTGAGGGAATTGTAGTTAATAAAATAAAAATAAGGCTTAATAAAATCCGAGATTCGTAACAAAATCAGATATAAAACCGGAAATTTTCCCAATTTCCATGAATTTACAAAAATTTCTTATTTTCAGGTGTGGTTCCAGAATCGGAGGGCCAAATGGCGACGCCAAGAGAAGATGGAGACGTCTGGGGTCGCGGAACTGCCCCCGGTCCGCCCGGCAAACATTCCATCGTGGTTAGTGCCAGTTGGAACCTATAATTGCCGTTGATACCCCTTCAAATATTACTCCTCACCTCCAGGTCGTGGATGCATGCCTCCAACTCCTCGGCCACAACCACAGCTACGCCGGCGGTATCGATCGACTCGAACTCTGACTTCTCCGCCTTCCCGCAGTTCCAGTCGGAGAACAAGAGCCTCACCGCCACCACGACCACCGCTCCATTTTTTGGGGACATGAAGGTGGAGCAAAAACGTTAAATTCACGTCAAAACTTGTGTTTTAGAGCCAATTCTCTGTCTTCCCGTACTTGCCGACGCCGGGTTATGCTTCAGGATTTGCTAGGTGGGTTGTCAGGAGGGTTCTTCCTAAGAGTAAGCCTGATCAAAGCCCAAGCCTAAGCCTAAGCCTAAGCCTAAGCCTAAGCCTAAGCCTAAGCCTAAGCCTAGCCTAAGCCTTGAAAAGACTTCTGAATTTCCTTTTCCAGTTTTGGTCACCTACCACCCGCCGGCGCCCTTGGCTGCCATGCCACCTTGAATGGTTTGTCTTTGAAAGCATCATATCCCGATCCGCTTAAATGTCGAGCCTTCCGCTTCCAGGCTTCTCCACCCAAAGCGCTTTCCCGAACCCCTACATGGAGGCGCCAACTGAGCTGGTGAACACCCAACTCGAGATGAAGCTCGAGGGCTACGATTAAGCAATTAACTCGTGTTTAAAGGGGGCGGGAAGTCTCGCCGGGACTTGTGGAGGTTTTCACGGCCCCAATTTCCATGCATGTTTCGCGAATTAATAGAATTTTATCCGAGCACCCTGTCTATCGAATAAATCAAAGCATTGACTAGCTGTAGGTATGTGCATGGAGATGGCCGCGTCCATAGGAGCGTCGCGTAGTCTGAGGTTGGTTTCTGGAGCGGGGCGTCCAGGTTATGGAACCAAATGGGTTGCTGGTTCGTCTAGGTACTTCCGGGGTAAGGTCTCGTGCCTCTGAAGAGTCTTCTGAAGTCCTGGGATCTTCATCCCGTCTTAACTGTTCAGGGGAACGTCGAAGGGCCTGGAAATGGGAATTTGAAGAATTCAACGCTGTAAAAGAGCCTAAGCTGAGCCTTGGTCTAAGCCTAAGCCATATCTAAGCGGAGCGTGCCTAAAAGTGAGCCAAAGCCTAAGCCTCCTGAAGCCCAAGCTTTTTCCCCTCAAGCCCTGAATCACCTACCGCGTTCCCTCGTACGCTCTCCAGCCCGCCATTCAAACTTGGTAACATCCATTTTGCTACTTCCGTTTGTAGGTACTAAAATTTACATCATCGAGTTGATATTTTTCCTACCTAGTACTTCGTTAATTCAGATCTCAAGGAAATACGCATCTATTCAACACCCAAAAAACGCAACATACCTTAACGGGATCATCAGGAGCGACGCGTTGCGCTCGTAACCGCTTTTCTAATGCGGACTCCCCGCCGAGCTTGGCCTTCTGGTACTCCTCCAACGCCTGAAAAGTTCGTTTTTGAATGCTGGTTTCAGAAATGAGCCCAGGCCTAAGACCAGCCCTGAAAGCAAGATACCCACCGAATCACATAACGCCTTGCTCTCTTGGATGCACATCGTCCTCGCGTTCAAAAATAGGTGTCTACGCCAATATTTCTAGAGCCGGGCCCAAGCTTACTGTAGCCGCGGACTCGTCGCCGATGAGGTTGACGGCTTCTGGTCGTCTGGTTTTCGTTGACGCTCCTTTGTGGAGAAGCCGGTTGAGCCGTCTTGCGCGATCTATAAAACTGCGATTTCGGAAGGGTTGAGCAGCTTAGGCTTAGGCTTCAGCTCCCCTACCAACCTGCAAATTCAGCGGGCTTAGCCCGAACGGCATCGGCAAATAAACCCCGGAAAGTTCCTTCCGCTTCTGCTCCGCGCTCGCCGCCGTGTTCATCAGATCAGAGATCATGCGCAGGGGATCGATCTGGCTATCCAAAATTAAGATACCTGTAAAGTTATACCTGTTCCGCGCCGGGCACCTTGAAGTTGGCGCCAAAGTTGTTCTCCGAGTTGCTGTAGTGGAAAATACCCTTGGGGACCGTTTCCGCGCGGTCGCCCGAGTTGTAGGTGATTGAGGAGGCTAGAATGGGTTATAAAATGGTAAGTACAAGGTCTGGCTAAAAGGCCAAGCCGAAGCCTAGCCTGCGCGGAAACTTTAACCATGGTGACTCACGATTCTCGCCAAATCCAACCAGTCTTGTCGGCTCGTTAAATTGTGAGCTGACGATAGGAACTGAAAACTTGAATTTCCGGCTTGAACTCCTAGATGGCCTACCGTAGAATGCGACCGCAAAATATAGGGTTAGCACTTTTTCGGCAGGGCAATGAAGCATCTAGCAGCAAGGAGAGACCTTGCTACGCATCACGGATGTCTGAAAATGTTGTGCTGTGGTTGGGGACGACAAGAAGCAGAAACAGAAAAGAAGCCTAAAGATATTCAATCAATATGTCTTAAATGGAGTAAGCTGCAAAAGCGATATTCAGAAAGTCACGAAATCTAGTAGTACCTAAGGTTATGCCACAGCTTAGGCTCAGGCTTAGGCTTAGGCTTAGGCTTAGGCTTACATCTTTCGGTCAAAAGAGCACAACACAGGGAAAAATCCTTGCCGGCACGCTCACTTTCATAGCGTTGTTGCAAGGTCGATCAACTACAAACAGGGGCCAGATTGCAAGATCATCGAGTGTCTAAACAGGGATCAGAGACAAGCCCCTCCCCTCTCCTCCCCCCTTCACCTCGAGAGGACACGTTTTAGGTTGATACGCCGGTGATGGGAGGAGGTGGAGGCAATCGGGTCATCCGTTTTTGGCTCTAATGGGGGGGCGGCTAGGTGCCGATAATCCCTGCTTTTTCTTTTCAGGCGCCTCCTAGCAAAATCGAGACTTTCCCTGGGCGTCGCGTCGAGACCCCTAATTCCAGTCCGAAGGGAAGGGGGGGGGGTGGAAGGGGGATCGCCTTCCGCTCTTGGGGTCAACGGTTTTTGCCTACCCCCGATGGCTCTCTCCCGCAACCAAAACTTCAGCAACAGGCATGAAAGTTTCGAAGGCGGCTGCACTGCGCAAAGGCCCATCCTCGCTGAGCAATAGCTGAACCCGAAGCAAAAGCCTAGGCCTAATGAGCCCAAGCCCATGCCGACGTCTAAGTAAGTCTACCTCTGAACCAAAGCCTGAGCCCGAACTTGCCACCAAGTCCATGTTAAACTAAGCCAAATTCGGTTCCAAGCTTAAGCCTAAGCCTAAGCCTAATTGTAGGCCCAGCATCAGCTCAAGCTTGAACTCAATTCGATGCCCCGAAATTAGGGCTTGACGCGTAGTGAATCAGCCAAGGTGTGGAATTGTTCTGTGAGCGTACTGCAACAACCGTAAACGCAAACAATCCATAACTTCCAATGTGTTCTGATGATCCCCTGTCCTCTGCGCCATCCCACAAAAAAGCCCAGAAATCCGCGCTGGGATCCCGTTGCCAAATTTTCACCCCGATCCCGGATTCACCGGAGGGGGGGGGTGATAAAAGATCAGCGGTGGGGTTGTGACAACGGTCGGAATCCCGAGCGCGGAGCCGAAAAAATCCAGTCCACTCCAAACGGCCGAGCGGATGTTATCGTTGGAATCCCAAAGAGCAGCTTTTCAAGATTACGGTGGAAAATCGTATTTTTGGGGTAGGATGAGAATGGCTGGCTCTGCGTATGGGGGGACGGTGGGAAGCTCTCGGATCCCATCATGGGATTTATCGGGGGTTGATCTTTGGGTCGTCGAAACTGGCAGGCCTAGGCTCCGGCTTAGGGTTAGGTTTAGGATTAGACTTAGGCTTAGGCTTAGGCTTAAACCGAAGCATGGATTCAGGTGGGACCCGTATCACGGCAAACGGTAAATTCCAGATTCCACCACGGAGCTCCGCTGGCTGCCCCGCCACCAATCACTCGACGCCTCGTACCGATTTAATTCATGCCGTCAATTCTCGAAATACCGATTAAAAATTCCGCATCTTTCGTGTTAGCGCTACATGGAATCCTGGCGAAATGTTATAAGAACCGCGTACTGTCATTTGGTGTTTGGTGGAATAAACAGATTCTCTATCTCTCTCTCTCTCTCTCTCTCTCTCTCTCTCTCTCTCTGCCCTCTCGGAACCATACTACCTTGGGCCTTGGTAAGCAAGGACGAGAACCAAAGATAGGAGAGAGGGAGAGCGAAAGAGAGAGAGAGAGCGACATAGCTATTTGCAGCCATTTTTACAATTTGCATAATATCGCACGTTATTTACACAAGGAATGCATAATTTGAAGGTCCATTTAGATTTCCGGTGCCGAATCCGAGCCCATGATGCTGATCTGGAGCATCCGGCGCAGGCTTTCGATTTCCTGGAAAGGAGTTGATCTCCTGAGGGAGTACGAAGCGCTTCGCATTATAAAGGGAAACGAACTTTGTGCAAATTCACATTCTCCTCCTTCAGCGACTCATTTTCATCGCGTAACTCGCCGACCTCGTGGGAAACCTGAAAAAATAAAAATGTCGGTTGGTGCGGAAAGGGAGAGAGAAAGAGAGAGAGAGAGAGAGAGAGAGAGAGAGAGAGAGCAAGAAAGCGAGCGAGTGATAAAGTAACAATTATCTCACTCCTCACCCGTTCTATTTCCTGCTCCTGTCGACAATTCGCATTCTGAATATTCTCCTCGTTGCACCGCTTCAGCTCCTCGATCTGAAATGGACGGCTTTGACTCAAAGTTTTCCCAGCGCACCTGCTCAATGACCAGCGACTTGCCCTCCTCCGCTTCTGAACATTTTAGCCGCGCGTCGCTGAGCTCACTCTCCAGACTCGCGACCCGACTCTCCAGCGAAAGGCACTTTCTAAAGTTGTCGATATTTGCCTTGACAGTCTCTTTAAACCCACTCCCTGCCGAGGAAGTGGACAATATTCCTTTGGTGTTGGGTGGTTAGGGGGTCGGCGACGTACTGAAAATTTTTGCTTAGCCAAGACTTAGGACGAGGGCCAGGACGTTGAGGGCAGGATAAAGGAAAACCCTACCGTCTCTTCGGTTTGCACAAATTTTTGTTGCCTCGATGGGACGGCCTCGACCTGTGCGTCCATTGATTCGAGAGGTTCGACGACGATCTCGGGCTGCAAGAGTTAGGCTTAGGCTTATGCTTAGGCTTGGGCTCAGGCTTATTCGCTGTACACTCACCAGATTCGCAGCAATGTTGCTCGTGTCCCGCCGATGAAGCGCCGTCTTCAGCCTCTGGATCACGGCTTCGGAACGGCGTTGTTCGGTGAGTACTTGCTCGGTGGATGCCTAAAAAATCGCTTAAGGAAATACATCACACGTTGGATTCGGCGGTTAATAAAACCGGAACTAAAATTTACGTTGGCATTCTCGAGCGCTTCTCGTAGGGCTTGACCCTCCTCCCGTGCTCGGTTGCGCTCATCTCGAACTGTGGCCCATTTCTCGCGCCAAGAGGCTGTAAATGGATTCGAAACTTTCATAAATCCGAATATTGATTCAAGCGGCCCAGGGAATTTTTGTACTTTTCTAAAAAAACCTCTACTAGTCTCGCTACCGACCTGTACACTCGCTCCACCATCTCATTGTTGTCTCCATCTGGGCTGCACGGTCGCGGGCCTGAAACCCGATTGCTTTGAATTTTTCTAGCCGTTGGCTTCAAGCTTCATCTTCAAGCCTACCCCCGCCACCTATTCCCTTAAGACGCCATACCTCTTTCAACTCTTGCAGTCTGAGGCTCTCGCAGAGTTCCCAGTCGGTGTGTTGGCACCGAGTCATCGTAGCCGGGCGGGCGAATAAGGGAAGTTGTTCTAAAGTCAGGGTCGCGCTCAAGAGACCAAAGTTTAAGCATAACCTTGTGCCGAAGCCTAAGCCTAAGCCCAAGGCCAAGCCTGCCTTGTTAAGAAGTCCCAAGTCTAGGCCTACAAAACACTCACCAACAAACCCCTGATACCGGTTGTGGATTGACGTCTGCGAGTCGTCCGTCATGGCTAAGACCTCTGCTTAAAAATGAAAACTTTGTATGCTTTGCAACAAAGAAGATAAGAGAGAGAGAGAGAGAGAGAGAGAGAGAGAGAGAGAGAGAGAGAGAGAGAGAGTAAGAGAGAGAGCTCCAAGCTACGAGCGCAGTAAATATGATAATCGACTAGAGTATAACCCAGAATCCACCGCGACCAAAAAGAATTTCCAAATGCAACAGGTCGGTAGTAATGCGGAACGAGGAGGGTGTCCAGGGCCAGGGCCCGGGCCCAGCCACGGGCTTGGCGAACAGCTGACGGGTCTGCCAGGGACAAACCCGGTCCTGCCAAACACGTAAAAACAATGACCAATGTAGGGTAGCGTAGTCAGAGGTCGATACTACATCTATGAAAGATAACGTATTACGGGAGCAGAAAAAGCCTTACTAGCCCAAAGAAAAACCAAAGCAAGCCTAAGCGAAGCTTCTGAAGTCCAAGCCAAATATGATTCCGCTAGAAGGAGAGATAGCGCATAAAAAAGCACAGAAAAAAGCTGACAAAGCTCAAAGAAAAAGTGAAGCTGGATTAAGCCAAGCTCCTGCATAACCCAAGCCTAAGCCAAAATTGAGCTGCGGTCACGCTCTGTCCTCTACATCCAGGACAAGCCTCCTAACAAAAAATATTTGTCCAGCTGACCGGCGGCGTTCCAAAAAAGGGGGCCCTTCTCGGAAATGGACCATTGCAACGAATTGACATTGTCTATTGGAATGCTGGTCAAATTATTGATTGCATATTCATTTTCAATAGCAGGTAACTTTTTTAAGATTGCTTAGCCTGTTTTTTGGAATTTGGGGGCGGTGGATGCCTCCGACCTTGACCCTATAACGTGGCAAGGTTTATTGTTAAAGTTTTTCAGTTAGATCCGATTACTTAATGCATTACCGCAAGCCTGCATTTGCCCCGGCCGCCGATGCACTAAACACCACGGTGCGGCCTACCACTGCAGCTCCAACAACCCGGGGATGCACCGAGCCTATCTGGTAATTGTTAATTCTTGGCTTATTCTTAGGCTTAGGCTTAGGTTTCGCCTTGAGGCCGCCTCGCCTGCGCTTACCCCTTGATAAAACCTTACAAAACTTGTTAGGAGCGAGTGGGGCGAGCTTCTGGCGTGCAGCCAGGACTGTGGCGCATGCGGAACTAAGATCCTGCGCCGGAACTGCACCACCTCCTCCCAGGGTTGCTACTGCCCGTAGGTGATACATCGCGATTAGAGGCAACATATTTCGCCGCGAGTTTTTGATAGAGCTTAATTTTATTGATTCTAGAGGTGAATCCCAGCGGACCGTCGCCTGCAACATCCAGGCCTGCGATTACCCGAAGCCCGCATGTTGCCCGCCCGCCAAGCTTATGTTCTTCCAGAATACATTTGCATGCGGGCCGCAAAAGCAGGTGAGGGATCTTTCACTCTCTCGCCCTCATTCTCTCTCCCTCTCTCTCTCTCTCTCCCTCTCTCTCTCTCTCTCTTTCTTATATCTCTCTAACTATCTCTTCTCGGATTCCAGGATGTCCTCGACGAGTACCAGTCCTCCCTCACAAGCATGACACCTCCCAACGGCTACACTCCGCCCCCATCATTTGTCCAAACCCCAGGTTTTTTACTTCCAGTCCCCCTGAACGTCTCGACGTCTTCTAGACGTTCGAAAATTAGACAACAAAACGATTCCGACAGCCCGGACAGCTGCACCGAACTTCCAGGTCTCGAGTCGGGCCACGGTGAGATTCCCAAACCCCCTCAAAACCTGTTTTTAGACGCGATTGCCGAACGTGCTTGTATCGAGTCGAGCGACGGTAAAGACCGGATTCAAAATCCCGACAGTAGAATTTTTTAGACACGACTTCCCTCGAGCTGGTCGACTACCAAAACCACCAGTCGACGACCAATCGGCTAATTGCTAAATCGAGTTTCATTTTTGGTTGTTTAGCGAGTGCTAATAAATGTGCTTTTTGGAGCTTTAAATGCAAGTGCAAAATTTGCATATTAGGGCCGAGTGAAGAAACATAGATCAACGAGTTTTACTCATTTTCACTCGTCGAAGACGCGGGCCGGCCATGTTGTTGCCACGCACGCCACACATCCCCGGGCGCTTCGTCTACCAAATGCACATGATCACGCTGTGGCTGACGCTCTGTTTGGTCATCATCAGCTTTATGCTGCGTCGGTTTTGCCTAAGCCTAAGCCTAAGCCCCAGCCTAAGCAGAAGCCTAGGGCTAAGCCCAAGCCAACCCAAGCCTAAGCCTAAGTCAAGCCTAAGCGAAGCCTAAGCCCAAGCCTAAACCTACCATAGGCCTAAGCCTAACCTAAGCCTAAGCCTAAGTAAAGCTTTTTCAGCCTGGGTCTACAGCGTGCCCCAAAACTATCACGGATACCGCAAGTATCAGCTCGTTGGCTTTTTGTATCCCGGAAATCGGACTGGGCACTATTGTGCGCATGTGGGTCTTGAGAATTGGAGTTGAAATCAGCGTTTTAAGTTAAGTATACTAATCATGTTACTATTCTCCTGTTAGGAATTTCAGTCCCAACCATATTTAAGGCTATCCTTGCGGAGAAGCAGCCGCATGCTCCGGAAAGGTTTGAGATGCGCACGTGCGACGGCGACGAGCTGGCCGAGCAGGACTTTTGGATGGATCCGGTAGAAGTATGAAGTATTTGGATGATGGCTTTTTTTCAGGCGGTCGTCGACTCGTTGCAATGGTATGAGGGGGGCAACGAGACGATTTGTAGGAATTTCATCGTGTGTAGCCCAAACTCTTCGTGTCTCAGCCATCTCGATGTGGTCGGCGCTGGCGGCCTGTGTCCTCGCCCTGTCGATCACACTGATCTGCTACTTGTTGTGCTACTTGGTGAGCAACGACAGAGGTTGCAAGTCCCATTTTAACTCCCTCAGAACGTCTGCAACCATGACTGGCCGGTGACCCATGGCAGCTACATTGTATGCGCCACCACTGCCGTCACCACCGGCCTATCGTAGGGCTGGTCACTGTCACAAAACGATATGTTCCCCTTCTTAGAGTCGTCATTGCGTGCTACTGTTTCGTGACCGGCGTCTACGTGTTTGGAGCCACGCGGCTCGTCCAACGACTTTCAAGCGCCGAGCGTAAGGACAAAAAACACCAGAAACAAGAAATTCTCTCAGACGTCGCTACTGAGCTCAACGAGATGGGTCTACTCGGATCGGGACGGCGCGCAATTTGTGGCGCGGGCTTACTAGCCGTTTTCGGTAGCCGAAAATATAACTTTAAAGACTTTAAGAAAGAAAGACTTTAAAGACTTGATTCCCCCCGCTAGCAGACCAGTACTGACACTTTTAGCCATGGCCCTCGGCATCGTTAACATCGTGCTGATTCTGGCCAAGTCAGAGTCAAATTTGACGGTTTGTGTTTGCTTTCATGGCAATTTTTCCCCCGTGCTACAGACGAAGGGCGACCACATGTGCCGAACGCCTTGCTACAAGAAGCTGCCGACTGACGCCCAGAAGCACTGCCTCCAGCCCGAGCACTGCAGTGATTAGCAACCGAGCTGCTCGAAATGTTTTGCGTTTCCTGGTTTTTCCGTGCTTGATAAATGGTTCAAAGCGAATTGCGTCTACGTGAACAGGAAACTATTGGCGGGACTGGAACACTTTTTCTTTTTTCCATTTCTCCAAGTCTACTTAATTTTTAAAAGCTTGAGACAGAGAGCTATTACTGCGAGGAAACGGTATGAAATTTAGAAAAGTTTTGAGATTTTTTACACAATTTTGTTTGCAAATTTCATGAGAGGCCCCTCAGACCACAAGGATTAACCGATTCATGTGATTTTCATGCCTTAGATTGAGTTTAGTTAAACTTTTATCTTTGTTTTTCACGGCCTTTCAGAGCGCGCACGGGAGGGGTGGTCGGGGCGTGGTGTAGTGGTCTAAGGCGGCGGTTCAGCCCCGAGACAAGGGACGCGGGTTCGGTTCCCGGGTTCGCAAGCCTCCGCATTTTCGTTTTGCTTTTTTGTGGAAAATGTGCATAGTGGATGTCAAGCCTCTAGACGAATCAAGAAGCATCCTATCACTTTCTTTCGCGCAGAATGGATGAAGAAAAAAAAAGCGGACTCATGCATATATCCAAATCGACCGCTATTAAAATCATAACGCTACGACATTCTAAAAATGGTTGCGGCAGATAGAGCGAAGTTTGTTCTGTGTTCCTAGCTTTCAAGCAGTTACCAGAACAGCCAGTGAAAAGTATTATAGCCAGTTGAAAATTTCAACAAACTTTCTTTTGAAGCCTGATGTAGATGTCAAGGTGATACGATTTTGCACTTTATTGGATAGTTGCTAGTCTATAGTCATCAAAAAATGCAATTGAGGCGCTATGGACAAACATTTAGCTTCGCTATGATACCCGTTGTCTTAGCTACCTCATTTTTTTCAACTTCAAACCGACCGGGCGCCCGATTGCCGTGTACGATTCTCAGGAAACGTTGACCAAAAGATAGAGCAGAAGCTGTTCTATTTTTCTGTACACTCAAGCAGATTATGAAATCTTCTCAGAAAAAAGTTATAGCCAGTTGAAAGTGGAAAAGATAGCACCCCTTAGCTTAACAATGCATTACGCGAGGGGTATTGGAGCGCCCCGTAGCCTAGCCCCTTCGCCCCCTCTCGTGCGCGTTTTTATTAAAGGATGAATCGTAGTGTTTTGCTGTCTAGGAAAAATATTTTAGAAACTCACTAGATATATTGCGTAAGTGATTCTGCATCAATTGCTGTCCTTCAGTGTCATTTGTATTCCAGCGTCGCGACTCAAAACCTCGATTCGAAGCCAAAATTTGGAAAAGAAAATAAAACTCTTGGATGCTGATTCAATTTCAAAGTTTTAAAACATTTTTGGTTGAAATATGTAAAAACTGAGTTTAGATGTATGGACAGGGGCCCTCCAGTTCCCGCGAAAGAGGTGTCAACATCTCATTCGAGCCGCTAAGTGATTGGCAAATCTCCGAAATTGGATATGATGGTGCCGAAAAGTTTATCAGGTACGCTCTTTTATATAACAAAAATTGAGGATTTTTAGGCCAGAATCTTTCCAAGATCACGTTGGCAAATTGGCTCGGAAGGTGGACTGGCGAAAACTTGTCGACTCGGAGGACGTCTACGATCAAGCCAATCTCTTGCCGGTTAGATAGGCACACATTAAATTTTATCGATCCGTTACAGACTGTGGAACCGTTGGAAGGTGAAGAGGATGAAGAGAAGCGGAAACGAGAACAAGCCGAGTACCCGCCAGAAGCCGGTCCGTGGCATGTGGTCGCGAAGAATTTGCAGTATGCGTTTCTATCATTAAAAATATTTTTTTTGTATAGTGAATCTCTCCAGCAGTTGAACATCATGATCGACACGTTTCAAGTTGCACAAAAATTTGAATATCGTGAGCTGATGCACTGATTTCATAACGAAATTTTAGTACAACCTCTAAGCGTCCAAGATCCGACCGCTGCTCACGATTTGGCCCCACATGTGCTCGAATCGACAAAGGGCTTTCAATGGGTTTGGAGGAGAAAGGTATTCAGATTGCTAAAGACATTTATTTGGAATTTAGGCGCTTTCCGAGGCACAGGCCGTCATCGAAAGCGCGATGCGAACGCGACCGACCAGTTCGTTTCTGGAAAACACTGACGACTCGACGAAGCAAAAACGGATGTTCTACGGGTATACTGTTTTGCTTTGGCGTTTAGGACTAACTTTAGCGAGCTCGATCGATTGCGCAAGGTTTGGCGAATCCGAAAAAGCGGCACCTACATTCTGGGCGACCTCGGTTATTCTTCATGTGAGTATTTTAAACGTGGTGTTTATTTTTTAGTCGGTAAAAAATGGGACGCGAAGAACATGTTCGACATCAACCGACGCACGATTTGTATGGCTCGAAAATACCCGGATGGACGGCTAGTGCAGAGTTGGCTTCAGGTAACCCAGGTTTCCGTGCTCTTTAACCTAGTGTTTTAGGTAACAGTGCCGTACGACGTGGCGAAGAGAAGCACGCTCTCGGTTTCAATCGTAAAAGGTTCGGCGCTTAGAATTTTTCTCTATGCGCTTTAGACGACAAGACCAACAGCGCGCTCTTTGGCGCGGGCGGAGACAATGAGCTAGACTACATGAAGGTTCAGAAGAAGACGGTTAGCCTCGATTTATTCTGAGAAAAGTGTTTTAGATTGAAAATACGCATTGGCACGACGCGTTGACGTGGGCCAGTGAATCGCTCGTGTTGCGAGATACTTTCCAGCAGGTCGCATCACTATATCGTTGAAAAATTTCTCAATTTTTAGTTGGCAAAGGACGCTGTTCGCCTGAAGTATCGCCCTTCTGCCATCCGAGACGGAGTGCTTTTAATTTCGCTGTTTGACGAATATCTATTGCGAGTGGAGCTGAAGTACTTCCCTTTCAAGGTTTATTCCGATGATTCCGCAAAAAAAATTGTGTTTTAGGAGGGCCGTTTGCCCGAGGATGGGAACAGCTACTTGAACAGGTCGCTACGGAAAATCTTTTTGGCGATGGTCACGCAGAGGTGGAATTTTCTAATTGAATGTTAGGTTTTTCTACAGATCCATTCGCCCTCAAATGTTCGTCGAATTGCCGCTGACAAACGCACCGGAAGAGATGGACATGCGCGGATCGTCGGCCATGACACAAACAGAGGTTTTTTTTATAAACTTTTTCGATTTTCGATCAAAATGTCGACATTTTCTAGGGATGTCGTTTTAGTATGTCGGATCCCCAATGACACTTCTAAAAGTCGAAATTCTGAGATTGAACGTTCTGAAATTTCGGCATTCCCAGTTTCGAAATTTGAAAAGCAACCGCTACTTGCAGATGGATGCCCGGTCCGTAAGTAAGCCAATGCTGCTCGAGCGCATCCTGAAAGTAGCCGCCCATCATCACCTCGTTCAGCTGACCGTCGACATGCTCAAGCAGCACCAAATCGAATGTCGCGACCCGCAGGTTAATCGATTTATCGTCTCACCTAAAATTTTTAGCTAAAATGGCGTTGGTTGCGCTGCGCGCCCGCCAACTCGCACATCATCTGCCACCTGGCCAACCACCAGTTCGATTATTTGATGGGAAAGTAGGCAATGTTTGTCATCGAGAAACGTTTCCTTCAGAGTCACCTTCTACATAAAAATCGACCACAACGCGGTGACGCTGTCGACAAAGGAAAGTCAGGAGATCGAGTGCTATCGCGATGGCAACCGCATTCTGAATGCTCTGCGCTATATGGTACACTTAAAAGGTTTTTTTGTTAATTCTGCCTTTCCAGAACAGCCAATATTTTATGGGCGCCATCACGAGTCTGGCGAAGGTCGCCTGGGCGTTCCAGGTATTCAAAAATTTTCTTAGTAAAAGTTTTCCTATCTTTTCGTAAAAAACTTGCCTACAATGAAAATAACTGGAAAGATTTCTGTTTTAGACGGAAAATCTACGTTAGTAGTATTTAGTTAAACAAAATATGTGTATTTTTTGTTTATAGGGTGCTCAAAAAGTTTATTTCCCCGTTAAATACGAAGTAACCTCGTTTGCTTTAGATTTTGCACGCCAACATGAACGCCATCGACGGTGAGGGGAATCCGGCGCCGACGTTGTATATGGTCAACCCGATAAGCTCAAGGTGATTCTTAATTTACGCCAAATTACCCCGATTTCTAGATCCCTCCTCGTCCAATTCAACTCTAACCGGGATCCCGATATCAACGTGAAGAAGCTGCTGCCGGAAGAGGTTTTCAATTTTTTATACCCATGTAAGATACCTCTTTCAGGATGCCGAGGAGCCCTTCGTTCGCCTCGACTACAAGAAGCTGCCCGGCGGCACGCTCTGCAGAAAACTTGACTATCTTTTTGCCGTGTTACGTGATTAGAATAATTTGTTGATCTTGCCGCCCCCTCACTTTGTATTCTTCCTTTGTTGATCTCATCTTTTATCGTTTGAATTTTGACACTCATATGCTGAATAAAGATGTATCGATAATTTACAGCTGTCAGTAACTTGGTACTAGCTGCATTGCATTCAAGCAATAATTTTCTATATAAGTTAGCTGCTGGAAATGGTGTTGTGTGGAACTGAAGAGAGCCGTTTTTTAGCAAATGACAATATGGCCAGCCGGGCTGCTACTTGGCAGAGTCATTGCCAATGCTAAACGCCCTGCCACACAGGTTCTACCACTTTTTTTCGCAAATCTACCTATTCTCTAGCAAGTTGCGAGGACATCAGCGATAGCATCGGCGTCTCAACATGAACATCTAAAAAGACGGGCCCATACATCGACTTCCGGCAGAAGCAACAACCCCTTTGAGGCTAAAGAAGTTCGTTTCGGGTTTTATATCGATTACATGGTTCTTTTAGCTGCGTTCAAGATTGGGCGGTGCTGGAATCCGGAACTTCTCCACTCGCCCGAGAGAACCAGCCGCGAAAACCGCTGATCGACCACGAGCTGGAGGCAGAGCTCACTGATGTGAAATGGTTGCAAATTTGATCCTCCAAAAACTGAAGCTCTTAGGGTCGCCGTTTATCGATATCTCCCGATCCGGCTAGCCGCCATGGTGGCCCGAATGAAATTGGTGCAAACGATTGCCAGCGTCCTCTACGTCCCTTATTCCATTTTTAATTACATGTTGGTCTTAGTTTACGCTTTTTCAATGGGTATTTAGACAAGGCACGATCGACTGGAGCTGGCTGGTAAACACGACAAGTTTAGCTGTATTCGCGCCGCTAGCGCTTGTATTGTTTAGCAGGTTGGTGGCTTTTCGATAGCTGTTTTGTTGACTGCTTACTCCTTTGCTTAATTATCAGAATTTTTTTCAGGACGATGAATCGATTAGTGGGTGTTATCGCGGTTGATGAGACGAACAGCTACGCCCGAATAGGCTATGTATCGTTCTGGGGACGACGAATGAATAAGGTAATCAAATACCACAAACAAATTGCAAAAATTTTTGTTTAGGTACGCCCAATCGAAGATGTTGTCCCACTCACCAACTCCGAGGGCGATACGACTCAGAAGGTCGTCAAGCTGTCATTTCTCTCAGAGTAAGCACAATGTGAAATATCAATTATCGTTTATAGCTCCTCGTATGTGCTCCTGCCGACGCGACCCGTCGAAATTGTCGACCCGGAGCGCGCACACCTTCTCTTTGGCGATCTCAAGTTTTTCGACGTCGAAAACCCGAAGGAACAGCAATCTCAATAGAATTTTGAATAAATATTTATTCGGAGTCTTGCAACAGTGAGCGGAACAAATCAACTGCTTTCCAGCGAGCCCTCGATGTCGCCGGCAAACTTGAGGCCGATGAAGACCATCTGTGAGTGAGAAAATTGTCGAATTTTTCGGAACGTTCAAATGAGGTGCGAAAATGGGTAAAACATAGTCTACAACCGAAAATTGAACCTGCGAGATGACGGCCGATCCGGTGACGACAAACATGGCGATGAGCAGCGAGCGGTAGCGTGGCATTGATGGGTAATAGGAATCCTGAACTTGATCATTTTTTACAATATTTCGGCAAAAACCTCAAATTTTTGGTCGCGCCAAGCCTTTGGCATTGGGGAAGCAGGGATGGTGGGGGTTTGAGAATGAGTTTTTAAACTGACGGCTTTTTCAAAACAAGCTGTAAATCATGCAAATCCAGGTTAAATTCTAGTTTCTAAAATCTATTTCATCTTCCATCATTCCCAGACATTTCGGTTGATGTTGGCTTCCGCTTTCTCATGTGTTTTGCCCCAAATAGGGTAATTTTCCCAGCAAACAGTCAATTCACGATAATATATTCTGGGATTGTGGGATCAACGGGAGCGAAATGAATATAAATGGGTGCTAAAAATACACAAAATCGGCCTCGACTTTTGCAGCTATCCCTTGTTTCTCGGATTCGGTAGGGATTTTGATATTTCAAGACTTGTTTAATCATATAGCACGCCATCAGACACGACATGATTGTGCTTAGAATATATACTACCAGATGGTTACAGTCGCTTCGCGACTGTAACCATCTGGCCTTCGGGCTACCCTTCATGCAATCCACTTAAAAAACTACTTCGATACCTCCCTGATGGCTTTAGATACCCCCCATGGCTGAAATCCCCTTAAAAAACTACCTAGATACCTTCCTGATGGCTGCAGATACCCCCCATGGCTGAAATCCCCTTAAAAAACTACCTAGATACCTTCCTGATGGTTCAGATACCCCCATGGCTGAAATCCCCTTAAAAAACTACTTCGATACCTCCCTGATGGCTTTAGATACCCCCCATGGCTGAAATCCCCTTAAAAAACTACTTCGATACCTCCCTGATGGCTTTAGATACCCCCCATGGCTGAAATCCCCTTCAAAAACTACTTCAATAACTCCCCGATGGCTTTAGATACCCCCCATGGCTGAAATCCCCTTAAAAAACTACCTAGATACCTTCCTGATGGCTTCAGATACCCCCCATGGCTGAAATCCCCTTCAAAAACTACCTAGATACCTCCCTGATGGCTTCAGATAACCCCCATGGCCGAAATCCCCTTCAAAAACTACTTCGATAACTCCCCGATGGCTTTAGATACCCCCCATGGCTGAAATCCCCTTAAAAAACTACCTAGATACCTTCCTGATGGCTTCAGATACCCCCCATGGCTGAAATCCCCTTAAAAAACTACCTAGATACCTCCCTGATGGCTTCAGATAACCCCCATGGCCGAAATCCCCTTCAAAAACTACCTAAATAGCCTCCTGATGGCTTCAGATACCCTCCATAGCCGAAATCCCCTTCAAAAACTACCTAGGTACCTTCCTGATGGCTTCAGATATCCCCCATGGCTGAAATCCCCTTCAAAAACTACCTAAACACCTTCCTGATGGTTTTAAATACCTCCCCTAGCCGAAATCCTTTTAAAAAACGAAAATAACGACCGACCGGATGGAATGAGAGCAAAAAAGAAATGAAATCCCCCGTGAAAATTTTCATCCACGAAACGCGCGCGACCTGGCTCACTATGTCCAAAATCAGCCCAACCTCCGTCCCCCACCCCTTTTACTAAGGAAAAAACTTTCAAAGTTAATTTTAATAATTTAAACTAAAACTTTTTCGTAATTTTTTTATCAGTTTGGGGGTTTCTGATCACGCTCTATCCGAATCCGAAGAGAGCTAAGCTCTAGCTCTTTTCCCCTTCGAGTTGAATTCGGCTTCGGACGGACAGACGGACAGACGGACGCGTCAAGAAAATTATTATAGTTGATAGAATCTTTTGGGCTTTCATTAACATCTAGGACCTCCAATTATATAGTAAAGAGAAAAAGGGCGGTTTTGTTATGTATAACGTTTTTTACTAAAAAAATAAGGTTTAAACTTCAAAACAAGGCTACGGGAAGCCAAAGAAACGTTTGGATTGCTATAAAAACTCTTAGTTTTATGATTACTTGTGTTTTATCTTAATAATTTATAGAGAATAAAGAAATATCCTACTATTTTTATATATTATATCCTACTATATATAAAAAAATAGTGTCTGTGTGTGTGTGCCACTTTGCATCCACTTCCGTATCGTTGTTCCAGGCGTATCTCTATAGGGGAAGAAGCTAGGGGTGGGTACGATACGTCATTATGTGCGTAATGGTCTAGGGATCACTGCCCACATCACTGATTTATAAAAATCGGCTATTTTCGATAATAAATTTAAGTTTTTGTAAAACCCTCTTCGCTAGGAAAAATTAGCATTGACCGGAAGTAGAAAGTCGCCTATATGAAGGGTCACAAGCGAATTATTTTCATTTTTTTGGTCATCTGAATTCAGCGCAATATGGCAAGGCGTAGAACAGCATGCGGGCCAAGACGGGGCCAGGGTTGAAAAGTCGCGAAGCGGCTTTTCAACCCTGGTTTTTATATATATCAACTATAATAATTTTGTTGTGGTCTCCGTCTGTCTGTGTGAAGCCGAATTCAACTCGAAGGGGAAAGGAGCTAGAGCTTAGCTCTCTTCGGATTCGGATAGAGCGTGGTCAGAAACCCCCAAACTGATAAAAAATTATTAAAAAGTTTTAGTTTAAATTATTAAAATTAACTTTGAAAGTTTTTCCTTAGTAAAAGGAGTGGGGGCCCCTTTCCCGGGAGGCCACGCCCCCTTTCTCTTCGCCCATCTTCCCCAGGCCCCTTCCCGCGCCCAAATAGCTTTTTAAGTTACTTTAATACTTTTAATACTTTTTAATACTTTTTAATTATGCTAATTAATTATTTAAATCATCTGAAGCCATCGGGAAGGTATTTAGGTAGTTTTTAAAGGGGATTTCAGCCATGGGGGGTATCCGAAGCCATCAGGAAGGTATTTAGGTAGTTTTTGAAGGGGATTTCAGCCATGGGGGGTATCTGAAGCCATCGGGAAGGTATTTAGGTAGTTTTTGAAGGGGATTTCAGCCATGGGGGTATCTGAAGCCATCGGGAAGGTATTTACGTAGTTTTTGAAGGGGATTTCAGCCATGGGGGTATCTGAGCCATCGGGAAGGTATTTAGGTAGTTTTTGAAGGGGATTTCAGCCATGGGGGTATCCGAAGCCATCAGGAAGGTATTTAGGTAGTTTTTGAAGGGGATTTCAGCCATGGGGGTATCTGAAGCCATCAGGAAGGTATTTAGGTAGTTTTTGAAGGGATTTCAGCCATGGGGGGGTATCTGAGGCCATCAGGAAGGTATTTAGGTAGTTTTTGAAGGGGATTTCAGCCATGGGGGGTATCTGTAGCCATCAGGAAGGTATTTAGGTAGTTTTTGAAGGGGATTTCAGCCATGGGGGGTATCTGAAGCCATCAGGAAGGTATTTAGGTAGTTTTTGAAGGGGATTTCAGCCATGGGGGGGGTATCTGAAGCCATCAGGAAGGTATTTAGGTAGTTTTTGAAGGGGATTTCAGCCATGGGGGGTATCCGAAGCCATCAGGAAGGTATTTAGGTAGTTTTTGAAGGGGATTTCAGCCATGGGGGGTATCTGTAGCCATCAGGAAGGTATTTAGGTAGTTTTTGAAGGGGATTTCAGCCATGGGGGGGTATCTGAAGCCATCAGGAAGGTATTTAGGTAGTTTTTGAAGGGGATTTCAGCCATGGGGGGTATCTGAAGCCATCAGGAAGGTATTTAGGTAGTTTTTGAAGGGGATTTCAGCCATGGGGGGGGTATCTGAAGCCATCAGGAAGGTATTTAGGTAGTTTTTGAAGGGGATTTCAGCCATGGGGGGTATCTGAAGCCATCAGGAAGGTATTTAGGTAGTTTTTGAAGGGATTTCAGCCATGGGGGGGGGTATCTGAAGCCATCAGGAAGGTATTTAGGTAGTTTTTGAAGGGGATTTCAGCCATGGGGGGGGGTATCTGAAGCCATCAGGAAGGTATTTAGGTAGTTTTTGAAGGGGATTTCAGCCATGGGGGGGGTATCTGAAGCCATCAGGAAGGTATTTAGGTAGTTTTTGAAGGGATTTCAGCCATGGGGGGGTATCTGAAGCCATCAGGAAGGTATTTAGGTAGTTTTTGAAGGGATTTCAGCCATGGGGGGGGTATCTGAAGCCATCAGGAAGGTATTTAGGTAGTTTTTGAAGGGGATTTCAGCCATGGGGGGGTATCTGAAGCCATCAGGAAGGTATTTAGGTAGTTTTTGAAGGGGATTTCAGCCATGGGGGGGTATCTGAAGCCATCAGGAAGGTATTTAGGTAGTTTTTGAAGGGATTTCAGCCATGGGGGGGTATCTGAAGCCATCAGGAAGGTATTTAGGTAGTTTTTGAAGGGGATTTCAGCCATGGGGGGGTATCTGAAGCCATCAGGAAGGTATTTAGGTAGTTTTTGAAGGGGATTTCAGCCATGGGGGGGTATCTGAAGCCATCAGGAAGGTATTTAGGTAGTTTTTGAAGGGGATTTCAGCCATGGGGGGGTATCTGAAGCCATCAGGAAGGTATTTAGGTAGTTTTTGAAGGGGATTTCAGCCATGGGGGGGGTATCTGAAGCCATCAGGAAGGTATTTAGGTAGTTTTTGAAGGGGATTTCAGCCATGGGGGGTATCTGAAGCCATCAGGAAGGTATTTAGGTAGTTTTTGAAGGGGATTTCAGCGATGGGGGGTATCGGAAGCCATCAGGAAGGTATTTAGGTAGTTTTTGAAGGGGATTTCAGCCATGGGGGGTATCTGAAGCCATCAGGAAGGTATTTAGGTAGTTTTTGAAGGGGATTTCAGCCATGGGGGG